CTAGTTATTTGCGATCTCATACATATTTGATATTTTTATTCGAACCTAATTCTCTATCTTTACCTGGCTCACGTAATTTCTAATTTCTTAATAATTTATATAATTCCGTATCATCGTAACATCTGTTCGTAATTTTAAAACTGTATTAAAGAATTAGGATAAATAGATAAATAAATATAATTGAATTATAATGTATGAAAGGAGAAAAAATACATTCATGGAAAATATAACTTAAAGAGTATGAAACTCATGCCACAATTTTAATTTGAAAACAAACAGCCTTTCAAATCATGTTTATAATGCAAAAATTACATTGTTAATATTAATTACTTTAAATCTATAGAATAATAATCACACGAGTTTTAATCACACGAACATTAATATTTATCACAATACTCTTCAAATAATGACATTTCCAAAATTCCTTTCAAATTGCCTGTTGTTGTATTTAAAAAATTTGTTTTTGATATGTTCTACTATCACGTCATGTCAGCAAATATTTATAAAGTTAAATATCATACATTAGAATTATGAGCGAATGAAAGGAATACAAATTCGGACAGTAAGTGAATAATTGTCACTGATTTACTTGAAAATTGAATATTATAGTATTGTTTTTCTGCGAATAAGAAATATACGAAAATGTCAATTAAGAACAGTTTAATCAAACAAATAATAATGTTTTTATTAGATACCTCAATTATGTTGAGAAACGCTAGATTAAATAAATCTATTAGTACTTGTGATAATTGTTATTTGTGATTTCATAATGGCGTATGCATTACTTTCTAAAATAATAAATTACTGTAAATATATAATGTGAAATATCTGCTTCGCTAGAATACACAAATGTGGAAATCAGAAATTTAAATAATTTACTTTACAAAATATTAGCAATTAAAATATTAGCTGTATTATTTTCTTCTAATAATAATTATCATCAATAAATAATTATTAATTATTCTAACTTATATTAATAAGTATAATAATTAGTTGATTAAGAAAGCCGTTTGCCAAAATTTCGCATTGCTTGTGACGTTGTGAAGCAATAAGTATGTGAAACTTATTTTTCAGCTCTGAAATCTGTGTATTCTATGAATAATTTTCTACAAATACGAATTTATTATTACATGAAACTCCATCTTACGAAATCTATCGTACATATAACTTCTAACGATCGATTTTATACATAATAAAACTATTTTTCAAAAGTTTTTATATCCATCAAACGATTTAAGCCTACTTGTGAATGTTGAAAAACAAAAGCTCGATATCTATTATGTTGAGTGTGTAAAAATGTGAGTGTCGATTACTGTATTATTCAGTGTAAAGCTCCATGCAAATGATAAATATTTAATTTTCACTTAAGAAATAATGCTAAATATGAAGTAAGTTATAGTTAAATATTTCAATTATTGTAAGGAAACTTAATTAAATGTTATGTAATAAAAATATTGTAGGAAACGCTACATGGGAGCATCATAAAATAATCGTTTAAAGCTATTCTGTAATTAACTATTCTGCATGTGAAACTTGCTCATTGGAAAATATTTTTCATCTCGACGTGCCATATTGACTGAACCTCATCAAGCTTATTTGCGGTGAGCATTTACTGACAAAGAATCGTTGTAAATTCCGTGCATGGATTAATATCAAAGCTGACCCTTGTACTTGGAGGATGACACTTTACGCTTAATTTATACTTCGGCAGTCAGAATAATTATTCTCTTTAGACTTTTATTCGTGATGACTGATAATGATTTATGTCCAGCGTCAGTATTACGCGCCAATATTCAGCTGGAAGTCGCTTTATCGACTTTGAGCATGAATAGTTTATAAGGATGGGATCAGGCTATTGTCCTGAGTCTTCCCACCAATTGGCAGAAGGGAACATTTTCGCGTCTGCAATTTAATTTATTGACTTTATCATCTAGTTATTCAGTGATGAAGAAATCGTTTGGTATTGTTGTCGAAAATTAGCATCTTCGTCCAATGATTTCATGATGCTTCGCAACGTGTTGCGTAGTGTCGAGTTCCATAACTCAATTTGCGACGTTTCATCGTAGCTGCAATTCCAGTAAGAAATATTTCAAACGGGTGGAATTACTAGCTCAGCAGCCATAATTTCTCCCTCTGCATGAAAATGATCCGATACGTGAAATAATTACATACAAATGTCCTTGTCCCTGCATCGGATTTTACTCTGGCGTAAAGCACTGTATCCCTTTCTTTGCACGCGCCATCGCATTCGCATTGCAAAATGAAAATCCATATACAGACCATTTTTACCACCCCGTACTTCTGTACTAAATTAATATGCAATTTAAATATCGCCGCCGGTAATTCGAACATTCTGCATGCTCTCGTCATTTATGAAAAATTTTCTAATAATTATAAATTACAATTCGAACTCTTGATTTTACAATGTTAATGCCGTAAGGTATATTCTCTATATTTATCTCTCTTTTTTGTTTATTATTATTAAAACAAACGTCGTCATAAAATAGATTTATAAAAATATAAAGAAACTTTTGCTGAAGCTTCGAGCTTCTCGAATGCTACGCTACACTTATAGTAAATTATATCAATAAAAAAAATGACTGCGAGTGTTAAACAATATAGTAATATATTATATAATATAGTAATATATTATATTGCCATATAAACAATATAAATTGACGTTATGTCGGTTGAATGCTAACATACTGTGACATGCTAATAATAACGGAAGACGTACAAAAATTAACATTATATTTAATCATATTGTGTTGGTTGTGTAATCAGTGTCAATAAACAGTATATTTTTTAATTTATGAAAATTGTAAAACTATATTTCATTTTAACCGTATGTAGCTATAAACACTGGGACCCATTGCTAATGACATTATCCAATTACAAATCAGAACTGCATTCTACTTACCTATTCCCAGGCTTTGTGTCGAGTACTCTGAGCCCAAGATCTTCAATAAAAAAAAAAAAAAAAAAAAAAAAAAAAAAAAAAAAAAAAAAAAAACCTGGAAAAATAAATAATAAATGATACGCTCGTCCGGGAAGGTTTTAGATTGACATACAACTTAATTACACACACCGCAGCACAAACGAATATTCGATAAAAAAAAAAAAAAAAAAGTAATTACGGTTAAACAGATGTTGAATGAAAAAAAAAGCCACGTAATTATCGATAAATGGCTAATAAACGGAGGTAAGTACGCGCTTACTCCATACTTTCGCAACTCGGGAACCTCGTCTTGAGGATGAGGCAGCAGCTACGAGGGTTAAAACTAGCACCGCAAGCCGGAAATAAGTTAAGAAGCCTCCTGACCTCGTCTCGGTGGCAATGCACCGGCAGTGGCCTTACCTGAACAAGCAACCATTGACGACGACGTCCGAGCAGTGAGCGACGCCAGTAAGTAGCTACAGGGGAGGTTGAATGACCCCGTGGACGGGTTATATGGCCCGAAATTGTCTTCTCCTCGGTCTCGCTGAGCAAAGGAACTGACTCCAAGCGGCGCCAGAGAATTTAGGAGATTATCGGGAGAAGGGCTCGAGCTGTTTAATAATGACTGACTCGGGAAGCGTGGCTACGCGTTGTCGGCACTATACCTTTGCATTCACCTATGCAGGTGTGTTTGTGCCGTACTCCGCTGGCCATAAGCTTAGGAGCCACTAAGTGTAACTCACCAGAGTCGAACACGACTCCGTACCGAGCCCTTGTTTTTTTTTGTTTTTTTTTTTTTTTTT